TACATGATAATTTATTAACGACCAATACATTCTAACTTTTGGGAGTTACCAACTTAAATAATTGGCTCATATAATTTGAGAGAACATAAATATCAACAACGCGCTAAAAAGTCATTGTCCATACCTGAGCCATTAGAGAAGAATCTATCCTTCCTTCTTATATATTTTAGCATAGCAACTGCTAGCACTAATAGAAAAATAAAAAAATATAAAAAATGTATGTATTGCTTCCAAACAATTGAGATATAAAATTTATTATAAAATATTGGATAATTAATTTTACCATAAGGCAACACAATTGACATTTGTTTAGCCAATGTCTGAGTCGATTCATAGTTAAACATTATCCCTAAGGTAGTTACGAAAGTTAAGTTTTGATCCAACAACTCGGTAATTATGATTATAGGTTCGAACCTAGATTTTTAGTCTTATTTCTAGTAACAAACACGTTTTTTGTTTTTTCTGCTGTTTTTGTTGTGAACTCAAATTTCAAAAAACTCTTTCTCATTATTTCGCAATTCGCCTCACTCGTTGAGCCTCCCGTTTGAATTGGAACATTTTTGTGTTGATTAGCTTTCCTAATTAATTAATCAATCAATTCAAATTTAACTTTCTTTCCATTCATATTCAAAAGAATCTTATACAATCTTTCAATTTAAATTTAAATAAATATCATGTCTTTCAGTTTAAATTAAGTACTATAACAAAATATTGTCATAATTTGCCAAGTGGCTTTATATTAGCTTAGCACTGGCTTAACCATAATGCACACTTGCTATATTGCCATGTGACTTTTTATTAGCTTATCGTGTTACTTAATGTCCTTACTCATTGCTCTACTTGTAGTATAGTACAATAAATATAGTTTTGTATTACCCTAAAATTAATTTAACTTTGTTCTTTTGTTCCCTAGCTCCACTTGTTTTGTTTAAATTTATCAATAATATTATTTTTCCTATTTAATTATTTTATTAAACAAATTAAAAGTGTAGACCCCTTCACATTACTTCTATTCCCCTCTATATACATTATTTTCTATCATATAATATTTTAATTATTTTCATATTTCGTGTTGTATCTATAATATAAACATTATCATATTATTTTTCTAATCTTTTTCAAAAGATGCCAAAGTTTAAATGAAGAAGTTCTTTTATTATTTTCCATAAAATCTACACTTTTAGTAATTTTATTATTAGTATTATGTGCAATAAGCAATTAATTTTTTTTCTTTTTTTTTTCGTATAGAGTTTTGACTTTAATGTTTTTTATAACTTAACTACATGACAATTTTAATTACATCTTTATATTATTAATTTGTTGCTTGGCGTTATTTCATTGTAAATGTTTTAAATTTTAGGTTTATAAATTATGTTCTCAACCGCGAGATATTATCCATATAATATGTTTTTTCTCGTAATAATTCAAAAAAATTTCTTATATCAAATTTAAATGTCTAGTCCTTCTATATATCTATAATTATATTATTTGTTTAGGCTAAAAAAAATTGGTCTATTTTTTGTTCTTTGTCTATTGTTTACTGTGTTACCCGTTACTTAATATGGTTACATTATTACTTAACTTTTATTAGCTTGTCACCTACTTTATATCCCTATTTTATACTTCTATTATATATACTATAATGAATATGATTTTTTTTCTCTTAAATAATATTTTATTTATTTTTAATCTTTGACTATATAATATTTGAATTTATCAATAATATTTTTGAGTATTAATTATTTATTTGCTTTCTTTTATCATTTAAATTAATTCAAAGTATAAATTCTCTCACACTATCTTTATCCCCCTCTTCTAAATTATTTTCCCTACTAAGTAATGATATTGTATTTAATTTTTTCATTTAGTGTTTTATTTCAATAATAGACAAAAATAAAAGTGCATATGATCAAACTATATAGTACTTCACCCAAAATATTACAGTATTTTTATTATTAAACTTCTAGTAATTGTTATTTTTGTTGAAGCTTTTAGCCTTTAAAAAAATTATTTTTATTGTATACTTGTTTAAAATTCAGAAAACTTAGTCTAAAACAGATACTTTGGATTATCCATTATGAAATAAATAAATTATTAAATATATCAACATTCTGAACTTTAGGTTAAAACCTTAAAATATATTCTTCAACTCATCAAAAAGTATTGAATTTTTAAAATAATTAAAATTGCACATTAGATTACGGTAGGATATATTCTTCTTACTCGATATTAGAAAAGAAATCCAAATACTATTGATATCAAAATTCTTTATTTTCCAAATAAAAAATTTCAGTTAGAAAATATTAGTACAGTGATTGAACTTTATTTTAAAAAAAGAATTTATTTCAATTTAATTTCAATAAATGGAATTCCATATATAGTTCTTAAGTGATATTTCCTTATTTGACAATCTCCCATAAATTCTTTAAGATTGCCAAGTGGCTTTATAGTAGCTTGCCACTTGGCTTAACCACAATGCAAACTTTCTTGCTTTAATATATATATATATATATAGATATAGATTACTAGTATTACTCCATATTATTTATTTGGTCGCGGAGATATTCCTTATTTATGTGGTGACTCGTGAAACGCAGATAGCCACAACAAAAATGCACCTACAAAAGGAGTACAAGAAAAACAAACATGTAGGAATATTATAATGCATGAGACTATATCTTGTGTTGCTGTAGTCCCCCACATGTTCCATTTGAAACATTCAAAAGTAAGTAAAGTTAGGGAATAAGAAGAAGATGATGATGTTCAAAAAGGAAAAAAGAGAGAAATGGAATTTCTGATCAAGCTTTGGTTCTATCAATCAACTTTCTGATATGTACGTGGACTTCACCCGCCACTGGACTTGAATTTTCCTGGCAGTAGTTGTTGCAGTATCTTCCCGAGAAAAATTGTACTCTAAAATTCATAACTTTATTTGAGGTCAAGACAACAATATTTCCGTAAGATATGAATTAATACAACAACAACAACAAACCCAAACCCAGTATGATCTCAACAGGTAGGGTATGGGGAGGTAGTCTGTACGTAGACCTTATCCCTATCTAATGCAGGTAAAGAGGTTGTTTCCAATAGACCCTCGCTCAGGAAGGGCAAGAAGAAGAGGAGGAAAGCAAGGAAGGAAGAAAAAAGAAAAAGGGAGAGATAAAGTATAGGTAGTACCAAATAATAGCAACAGGAAATACAATATCTGAGGCGAACAAAACCACATAACGTAATAAAAATCTAAGAATATGAAGGGACATGCATGTAGTTTTGTGGTTTTGTTCTTAGATTTTTATTACGTTGTGTGATTTTGTTCGCCTACCTATCCCCAGTACTTCTTAGGCCTACCTCGACCTCTTCTCAAACTCTTTCAATGCTTTTTCTCTTAACATGTCCGAACCATCTCAACCTCGACTCCCGCATCTTGTCCTTCATGGAGGCTACTCCCTCTCTGTTCCAGATAGCTTCATTCTTAATCCTATCTCTCCTGGTACACCCACACATCCATCTCAACATCCTCATCTCTGCTACTTCAGATCCCTCTATAACCAAACATATTTGGTTCTTTTGTTTCTGATCTGATAGTACAAATAATTATAGTAGTATATTTTGTAAAAAAAAAAAAATGTTTCCGGCACTAAAAATGGAAACTTGTCTTCACCGTCGCGACTAGAAGATGGTACATGCAATTCAAGAAACATCTCTCGATCGGAATTGAGACGCACTATATTTTCTAAGTACATTTTTGACAAAGACATATGTTATTGACCTTATTAATTAGGAGTGTATTAAGAGTATTTGTCTAAATGATCCTTTATTCGTATACAATAATTGAATCGAAGGTAAATTTAAAAAATAATAAATAATGAATTTCATTTTGACAAAACGATTAATATTTCGAACACGACACATTTAAAGCTGAAATTACCATCTTCTTGGAGAGGATGAAGGACGTGAAGATTAGCTAAAACAATAAAAAAACACTCATGCACTAGTTTGATCATGACATTGAAGACCTAACGGAAAGCACCATATTGAACGGAGGGTTGCAAGAAAAAGAGCAAAAGTGCACTCATTTTGTCAAGTTAGCTCAAAATTTGGAGGATTTAGAACAAAAAACTGGTTACTTGACATTCATGTGAATGATCTCACACAAATAACAGGTTAACAATGAAAGCAGAAAAATGCCATCCTATAGTCCTAACTCTTTTCACTCAAGGGCAAAAGTTGGTGCACAAAGCATCTCGTGTTCACGCAGAATTTGGGGAAGGACCGCACTTCAAGGAATATGATGTAAACAATCTACCCGATGCAATCACTAGTGACTAATTCCACCGCTTGAACTCGTACTTTACTATTGCTCCAACGCTACCCTTCCTTTTCACTCATTAGGCTTCACATAAATTTACCTATCATATATTGGTGCTCCTTAATAGGAAGAACAAGCTAAGTTTCCATACAGAAGTTAGATCAAGAATGTTATAACTAAGCAGCTTGCAACAAAGTCATCTTTTTAAAAGATGAAAATTAGGGATAAATATAATGAATACCCTTTAATCCATTCATAAACTCATAGTCAGGACAAATTAGATATATAATGAGGCATTCAACATTCCCACCTAAACATATATTGATATATATTTCCAAGAAAACAAGTGAAACTAGAAGAAAAGACCAAAGCTTTGGCCAAAAAATTACTAAGTACTTCTTAGAAAAGGAAAAAACACTCTCAACCACCAGCATCTCAAATAAATTTCGTCTTCCTCTTCTGGCATACTCTTTTTACTTGCTCTGCTAGCAACGACATAACAACATACCCAGTATATTTCCGGAGTCTGAAGAGGGTAGTATATACGCAGACCTTACCCTACCTTGTGCAGGTAGAGAGGTTGTTTCCGAAAGTTACTTGTTTTTCTAGATATTAAAAAAACTCATTAATTGAACATACTAGTAACTAATATATATATATATATATATATATATATATATAATGAAAGTACCTTAAAAAATGTTTTTTTTGGGTGTGTTTCTTCTTCCTTTTCAGCTTCTTTCTTGAGCTGGGAATAATTAAGGGTTTGTACTTTGTATTAGGGTTTTCTTACCAAGTGTAAGTTTGTTATTATGCATCCAAACTTTGAAAACATGCCTTTTGATACCAATCTCATTACACAACTGCTTCACAACTCCTTCATCTTGCCTCTGAATTCGCCACCCTAATTTCTCAGCCAGTTCCAGCATTTTCTCCTTCTGTTCTTGGTTGAATCTCGTCCTAAATCTCTTCTTTGTCCCACTGTTATTAGGGTTACACATTTCTTCTTGATCCTCCCTATATCCACCACCTGTTGATTTTTAGAGTGAAATCAGATAAGTAGTAATTTTAGAACAACAACAACAAACTCAGTGTGATCCCACAAGTGGGCCCTAGGTGTAGTATATATGCAGTCTTACCCCTATCTTGTGAAGATAGAAATTATTTTTGATAAACCCTCAGCAGGTAGTAATTTTAGAACTGACTTGTAGTAATTTTGGGAAGGATTATAGTAACTTTAAAAGTCGTTCTAAAATATTACTCTAGAAAGTTTTATAATGTTGAGGGTCTTTCGGAAACAACCTCTCTACGCCCTGGGTAGGGGTAAGGTCTGCGTACATTCTATACCCTCCCCAGACTCTACTTATGGGATTTTTACTGAGTTGTTGTAGAAAGCTTTATACTATTAAAAAGGACAGCACGATGCACAAAGCTCTCGCTATGCGCGAAGTCCGAAGAAGAGTCGGACCACAAGGATATATTGTACGTAGCCTTACCTTGCATTTATGCAAGAAAGCTTTAATAGTCTACATACATATTAATTTTGAGATTTAAATTACATATATTTGATAGAGTAATTTTTTTTCTACACTAACAATGTCAAATTTACTTATTATAACAAATTATTTTTCATTTTTATCAGATTGTTAATTATATTTAATATAGAAATTTACGTGTAATTATATAAGATGATTGTACTACATACTTTTTACTCCATTAATATATAAAAATTAAACTCTAAATTTTGAGTTTTGACCCACTAATTATGAAACACCAGAACTACTTTAATTATTAATTATAACAAACAAAACACATTACCACCACCACCTCCAGAAGTTGACGGCAGGGGTAAAGGTCTCTGCTGTGGCATGACATGTTGAAAGTACCCACACGGTGGGTGTCTATAGTAGGGCTGGTGGTGGATTTGCGTCTCTTTCCGGTGAAAATTACGGTGGCAGTTGCAGGCGGCGCATTTGAGAGCGTCAAGAGAACCATCTTCTCCGGCAGGCATGAACTCGCCGCAGCCGTCAACAGCGTGGCCGCCGATACCAACGGCGTGGTTCTTAAGACACTCTTTGTACTTGGGTTTCCTCATTTGCAGCGGCGCGTCGAGTATCAACTCGTCGGAATTACTCGGCATTTTGGGCTCATCAGTTGAGTTGGAGATTTCGAGTACTGAGTTGTAATTTGGTGAAGCTCTAATTTCTTTCTGATCATCTTGAGTTTCGAACTCCATAGGATTTAGCTAAATTCAGTAGCTAATCCAATAATCTGTGCCTGTAAATATATACTCCTTTTGCCTCGGATAAAATAGTGGGATTAGGAATATGAGTGTTCAACTTACTAGGCTTTAAACAGTATTTGACACAAGGTGAAAAAGCAAATTACCTAAAAATTAAAATTGAAAAAAATATTACCCTTCATGCGTCTCATTTTATGTGACGGTGTTCGATTTGATATGAATTTTCAAAAAAAGAAAAGGAATATTTTGGAATTTATGAATTAAACAAGTTAATTAAATTTGTATGAGTATAAATCGTCTCATTGAGTATAAAATAAAATATTTAAAATTAAAGTATTTTTAAATACAAAAAAGGTCATCGTCATTTTTGGAAGACTAAAGGAGTATTACATAAATTGTGACAAAAGAGTTTACAATATACAGTTGTATTTGAACATAAATTTTATCCAAATAATTCGAAACAAAGAGTAGTTATTTTGCTCGAAATACTCTATTTTAAGAGACTGTTTGGCCATAAAAAGATTCTTTTTTTTGAATTTTTTTTTTCGGAATCAGCGTTTGGTCAATAAAATTTTAATTTTTTTCGCTCGAAGTGAATTTCGAAATTTGAAAACTCCAAAAAGTTATTTTTTAAAAATTTCACTTCAAAGCACTCACAAAAATTCAAAAATAGCTCCAAATTCTATTCATGTCCAAACACAACTCTAATCTTCAAATACCTTTTTCAACTTGAAAAAAAATTCACTTTTTTCGGAATATCACAATTCTTATGTTTAAACGTCCACTAAATATCAAAGTTCCTCAACTTTAGTATTTATGCATATATACTGAAATATTACTGACGCCAAACGGTACTGGGCGCTTGGACATAAAAATAGTAAAATTCCAAAAAAAGTGGAAAATAACTTTTAAGTGAAAATGGTATTTGAAATTAGAGTTGTGTTTGGACTTGAATATAATTTTGAGGTTTTTTTGAATGTTTGTGAGTGATCTGAGTGAAAATTTCGAAAAAAACCTTTTGGAGTTTTTCAAATTTTTAAAAAATTCCAAAATTCATCTTCAAGTGAAATTAAAAATTTTATGGCCAAACACTGGTTTCGAAAAAAGTAAAAAAAATTCGGAAAAAACTAAATAAATTCTTATGTCCAACCGGGCTCTTAATCTTCGAGTATGAATTTCACCGTGCCTATTTTTAAATATGGTATACCACATATGTTAGTCAAACTCACAATTATGTGCAATATGCAATTTCACTATCTTCAGTTCTCTTACATTTTAAGTTGTTTGTTGAACATAAAGTTAAAATTTAAACTTCCAGTTTAACAATGAACTTCTAGTTTAACTTCTTTAGCTAAATTCACCACCTAAGAATTCAAGTAAAGTAATCTCTGAATATTTAAGTTTGACTTCAAAAAAATTCAAATTCTTTTCATCTCCATTCCTTTATGTTCCAATAGGTTTAATTTATTCCTATATCCTTTTTCACTACATTTTATGCCCGGTCTCACATGCACAAAGAGAGAATTGAATTACTGACTTATTAATAAATAGTACATTCTAAACGAGAAAGAATCAAAATTTTCTCTTTGATGGATTGCCATTGCTTTCATCGCACGGTAAAGTAAGCAGAGAGAGGGGGACCGTAAAAACTTTAATCTGCCTCTCTATCTCTTTATTCTTTATTTTTATTTTTGTTTTTATTTTTAAGATTCGAAGTCGTAGTTTGTCTACTTTTAATCATCCACTTGATTTATTTGAATTTCTTTACTTCTCCACAAATGTAACTGATTACATCTTACAGAAATATAGAAAAATAGAGGTGAATCTACGATCTATAGTTAGTGAGTTGAATTATTTATCGTGCTAAGAAAAGTATAATGAGTTTAATTAATACTACAAATCTTAAATGTTGAACCAACTGAATTTAAATTTTGGATCCGTCCCTATATATGTATATACTGTAAGGTGTGCGAACAAAGTCCCACATTAGGAGCGAAAGAGATTGAGAGCCTTGCATATAATGTGTAGAAATCTCTTAATGGCGTGAGGTCTTTTGGGGGAAAACTGTGTTGGTTTGACCCAAATCGGACAATATTTATCATTTTAAGAATATCTGTGGGCCGGTTTAGCCCGACAATTGGTATTGGGGTTCAGATTCAGCAGGACGAGTATATTATGGCATTGACAGAGTGATGGCGTAAAGCTCGATTTACTTCCTCTTACAAGCTCAGAGACGTACACAGACAAGAAGAAGCTAGTTACTAGCTTTGGCTGCCATAATACTCGAACGATATGGGTGGCACATATTCAATCATGGAAATTGACCCGTGGATCGTGGTAGTGAGACATATGGAACTTAGTCGAGGCAGAGACCCATGAATCGGTGTAATGGGCCACATAGAGATGCACAAAGACAAGAAGTAGCTAGTTGCGGGCTTCTGTTGCCATAATACTCTAACAATATGGGTGGCACATAATGAATCTTGAAAATTAACTTGTGGATCGTGGTAATGGGCCACGTGAAACATGGTTCGAGAGAGAGATGCATGGATCGTGGTAATGAGCCCCATGAAACTTAGTTCGAGAGGGAGATTGTTGGGTGTGCAAACAAAGTGAGCCTACATATAAGGTATATGGATCTCTTAATGATTTGAGACGTTTTGGGGAAAATCGTATGAATTTAGCCCAAAACGGACAATATCACACCATTAAAAATAGAGACATTTTCCTTCCTATACCATATATGAAACCTTATTACCAAAAATGTGCATAGTTTCATATTTACCCACCATGTTCACAGTTATTCTACAAAATATATACCATTCATTACATACCAATTATTAGGAGCTGAAACCTTCCTAATTAGACCCACTACAAATCTGGAACTAAATATTCTTCCAGATATATTTTGTGTATGAACATTCAGATGTGTGGCTGTGTTGCTTAAGCGCGTAAACCAATCGCCAATTCTCTGATGAATACAGAAACCTTAACCGCGGATTCTGCTAATAACCAAATTGATACCTCATAAATTCTTGTTAACATATTACGACAAAACAGATGTTTGATCCGTTAAAAGAATCTGCGCGCGCGCTACAATTATGGAAGTAAATATTCTTCCAGATATTTTCCACCATTGACAGCCATTAAAAAGCTTGAAAGCTTTGAATTCAAATTTGGGTTTTCAAAAATCATTATTTGTTTGGATTGGGTGTTGTTGAAAATAATCGGGAATAGGGTTTGGAGTTTATATCTCAATTTTGAGGAGTTTTGGTGAAGATTAGACTCGGTTTTGACTGAATTTCAGATTGAAACTCGAAGAAGAAGAAGAAGAAGACATATTGCAGAAATTGTAGATAAATTGTAGATTATTTGTATTCTGATTGTAGATGCTTTATTTTCTGTTTTCACAAATAAAAAACGGCTAAAACTTCTACGAATATTCTGAAAAAACGCAATTATGTCAAAAATCACAATTATGCTACAATTGAATGGGAATTGGGATATAAAAATTCAATGTACCCAGTTTGTAGATATTTTGTAGATTATTTGTATTCTAATTGTAGATGCTTTATTTTCTGTTTTCATAAATAAAAAATGACTAAAACTTCTACAAATCTTCTGCAAAAAAAGCAATTATGTCGAAAATCCCAATTAAACTACAATCGAATGGGAATTGGGATATTAAAATTCAATATACCCAGTTGTAGATATTTTGTAGATGAATTGTAGATTATTTGTATTCTGATTGTAGATGCATTGTTTTCTGTTTTCACAAATCCAAAACGACTAAAACTTCTACGAAATCTTCTGCAAAAAACGCAATTATGTCGAAAATACCAATTAAGCTAATCAACTCCGTTACTTGTATCAATACACTCTAAGTTACTTTTGTTCTCCCATTGATTTCGTTAATGTTTGTGACAAGCCATTCTATTCATCAATTACTACACACTAAACTACTCCTTTTAACCTATTCCGTTCAACATTTCCTCTTTTCAACTATCAATCTGACCAAATTTGTGAAGTCAAACTATTCATAGATTGATTTTAACTTTTAAAAGTTGAGATGGTTATTAAAGCTGCAAACTGTTCACATGCAGTATCAGAAATTTCAATTACCTTAATATAATATTTCTAAATTCACTTTGATACTACAACACGAGCTGGTCCGTAACCGCTAGATCACATTCATTTGTAATTTCAGGACAGTAGCAAATTATGAAATTTACCTACTATATAAATGGGAATGTTTTGTTTACTCTCATACGTTGTGTAATGCAAATCATAGGTTTTTACATTAATATGCTGCAAATCTATGTTTCCATAATCATAGGTTTTTATGTTTAATAACAGTACATAAACGTGGGTGAGGGTGAGGGTTTGGGAGAGAGAAACGTGGGAGGGGTGGGATTTACGGTACCTTGAATTAAGGAGGGATATACGCTGCATTAATTGTACCCTTAAAATACTATGGTATAGAATTGATAATTTGGTATACTAAATGTAATTATATCAAACCTTAAACATTGAGGGTAATAAGGTTTCCTATATGGTATAGGAATGTAAAAATTCCTTAAAAATATTTACGGACTGTTTTAGCCTAACATCCATATATACACAAACATAAAAAAGATTGGCATATATGTTTTATGTTTATAGAGTGAGTGGAGAGTAATGAGTTCAATTGTCAATTCATCAAGTAATTAATGGAATAATTATAGAGATAGAAAATCGCAGTAATGAGGGGATTCATCATTCATGTGATCCCTTAAGACATAGACAACCCGGATTAAGGACTGTGACAAGTCATTGCTCCTTGACAAATACCCATATCTCCCTATAATTCTAAAAAACAAAATACGGAATGAATCTAACTCAATCATAAAAGCTAGCTGATGAATAGCGTCTAAGATGGATTGAATGAAATGTGAATAACATAATACGGGAGGCCAATGATGAGAAAGACAACAACAAAAATGGATGAATCTCGACATACCATATAAAAAAGAAGAATATTAGACTAAACACTAATGGAACTTAACATTCTAATTCTGCCCCACCTTTACTCTCACACTCACTAATCTGGATTCTTGTCAGCTAAAAGGAAA